TTTCCAGAACAAACCTGCCTCTGCCATTCTGCGGACATAATTAATGCCATCCTCAATAACTACATGATGTTTATCATCTAGCTTCAAATCAAACCATTTCAAAGCCAAATCGAGCATATTTTTATCTATTTCGACTGCAGTTATATTCATCTAAACGAAGCGATGATCATCGTCATCTCAAGCTAAAATGGGTCCTCAACTTTGGGATAATTTTTATGTAGATAAGAGTTGATATATCCGGCTCCCAATCCTAAGGAAAGCACTTGTGCATTAGTTTTAGCACAATTTTCCACTGCATCATAGGCAAACATCTCATCTGGAAAGCGGAAATATAGATCCTGAAGTAGATTAATTTAACTTTATTTGATATGACCTATCATTGTAATCGTATAGCTGGTGAAATCCAAAGATTCGTGGTCAATCTTCCACTTGCTCGAATCGATGTTAGCAATGTTGAGTACTGTAAACTCAAACTTTAATTAAGGTGATCTAATAAGGTGATTAGACTCTTTTGAAACAATTATATCTGACTTAGCCCTCAAGCTTCCTAAACACATTACCTGATGGTAGTTTTAAATTCATTGATGTAAGGACATAAATACCTTGAGGAGCTTTCAAAGAAACATCTCGAATGAAAACAGCCCTAAAATTAGCTTTATGCAAAAGTTATATTCTTCACCATTTGCTAACACCTTTTTCCATCATATTGCGGATGGTCGGCTACATCAACACAATTTCCATCCATCAAACAGATTGATCTCTCCCTACATTTGTAAGTTAATAAACTTTGTAAAAACCAATTCAAGCTACACTTTTGTAAACAAAAAACCTTTCAGCTTACAATATTCGTCGCCCATACGTTTTTAGATACAACTGTACAAATTCTTCCACGGTTAATACTGCCGTTCCTTTTGACTGTTCATCATAACATGAGAATCTGGGCGCGGACAGCTGAATGTATGTACTAGGTTACCCCACAGATTCTTGTGCAGTACGGCTACTTTCCCCGTACGAAAAAAAGCTGACAATCATTCGGACTTCTTTTATAGTAACACTG